TTTGGTTGAGGCTAACTTAAGTAGAGAACAGAAACTAAAAATTCAGCAATTTTTCTATTTGTAAACACGCATAACTCTAGAACGGTTGTGTATAAGTTTTATAACAATTGGTTGAGACAAACTACATTGTAAAGTTAGAGAACGGAAACGAAAAATTCTGCAATTTTTTTTTAAAAAGGGACATAACTCAAGAATGGTAAAAGTGTCACCACCAAATTTCGTACTTAATCTGTAGTATGTAGTAATAAGCATTGTGTATAAGTTTCATAACATTTGGTTGAGGCAAACTGAAGTTATATAACGGAAACAAAAAATTGGTACTTGATCTTAGTTTATGGTAATGAATAGTGTGTATAGGTTTCATAATTGTTTGATTGGGGCAAACTAAAGTTACAGAATGGAAACAAAAAATTTTGCAATTTTTCCATTTATAAAGGGACATAACTCTAGAACGGTTAAAGTGACGCCACCAAAATTCAAACTTGATCTGTGTTTTGTGATAATAAGCATTGTGTATAAGGTTCATAACATTTGGTTAAGGCAAACTTAAGTTAGAGAAAGGAAACTTAAATTTGGCAATTTTTCCATTTATAAAGGGGCATAACTCTAGAACAGTTAAAGTGACCCACCAAAATTCAAACTAGATCTGTGTTTTGTGGTAATAAGCATCGTGTATAAGTTTCATAACATTTAGTTGAGGCAAACTCAAGTTAGAGAACGGAAACCAATTTTTGGACGTACAGACGGACAAGGGGTAAAACTTAATGTCCCCACCGCTACGGCGGGGGCATAAAAAAAAAGGAACCCCCCCCCCCCCCAATTTTTTGAACCCCCTAATGATTCATTACCCTCAAACTCAATCCCGGCCTTCCCTTTGTGGAATGGTACCTTGCAGTACAATTTCAGAGAGATCCATACACTTGAACACAAGTTATTGTCTGGAAACTGTAAAAATGCTTGTTTTTTGGCCCCTTATTCCTAAACGTTTGGGGCAATTACCCCAAACTCAAACCCAGCTTTCCCTTTGTGATATGGAACCTTGTAGTATAATTTCATAAAGATCCATACACTTACACACAAGTTATTGTCCTGAAACTAGAAAAATTCTTGTTTTTTGCCCCTTTTTGGCCCCTTATTCCTAAACGTTTTGGGCAATTACCCCCAAAATCAATTCCAGCTTTTCCTTTGTGATATCGAACCTTGTAGTACAATTTCAGAAAGATCCATACACTTACACACAAGTTATTGTCATGAAACTAGAAAGATGGTTTTTGTGCCCCCTAATTCCTAAAAGTTTGAGGCAAATACCCCCTAACTCAATCCCAGCATTCCCTTTGTGGTATGGTACCTTGCAGTACAATTTCAGAGAGATCCATACACTTGAACACAAGTTATTGTCTGGAAACTAGAAAAATTCTTATTTTTGGCGCCTTATTCCTAAACGTTTTGGGCAATTACCCCCAAACTCAATTCCAGCTTTCCCTTTGTGATATCGAACCTTGTAGTACAATTTCAGAAAGATCCATACACTTACACACAAGTTATTGTCATGAAACTAGAAAAATGCTTTTTTTTTTTGCCCTTTTTTGGCCCCTAATTCCTAAAATTTTGAGGAAATTACCACCAAAATCAATCCCAGCATTCCCTTTGTGATATGGAACCTTGTGGTACAATGTCAGAGAGATTCATACACTAACACACAAGTTATTGTCTGGAAGTTACAAAAATGCTTATTTTTGGCCCCTAATTCCTCAACTGTTGGTGCCACAACCCCCAAAATCAATCCCAACCTTCCCTTTGTGGTATTGAACCTGATGGTAAAATTTCATAGCGATCCATTCACTTAAACTAAAGTTATTGTCCGGAAACTAAATGCATCTTTGGACGACGCAGACGACGACATGATAGCTTTATACGACGTAAAATATTTTTTGCGGTCGTATAAAAACTTCATTTTACCCCTATGTTCTATTTGTAGCCATGGCGGCCATGTTATTTGACGAAACAGTAAATAGAACACAAACTTTATTCTTGATACCCTAAGCATCATTCAGATAAAGTTTGGTTGGAATTGGTTCAGTAGTTTCAGAGGAGAAGATGTTTGAAATAGTTTACACCAGACGGACGCCAAGTGATGGCAAAAGCTCACAGTTCCTTCGGAAGGGTGAGCTAAAAACTAAGAGGCTCTAAAGAGCCTGTGTCCCTCACCTTGGTCTATGTGCATATTCAACAAAGGACACTCTCCAACATTGTAGACGAGAACAGAATTCATGACAAAAATCTCTATTTTGTTGATCTTGTATTGCTGATCATTTTAAAATAGTCTGTTTAGTTTCTATCTTTTTTGCTCAAAACACAAGAAGGTTAAAAAAAACCCTCATTTAAGGACAATCACTCCTATAAAGAGTGAAAGTCTACTAACTGTATTGGCAAAATTGACTTGATAGTAGATCTTGTCTTGCTGATCATTTTTGTGATTTAAAGTGTCTACCGGTACTTATATATTATAATTTTTATCATATAAGGCAAAATAAAAAAAGGGTAAAAATCGTCATTAAATGGCAACAACTCCAATAAGGAGTTGTTTGACGGTTTCCTCCATATTGTCTTGATTGTAGATCTTGTCTTGCTGAATATTTTCGCTTATTTAAGTTTCTATCTATCTATTATAATTTTTAAGATACAAGGCAAAAATGCAAACTAGAGGCTCTAAGGAGCCCGTGTCGCTCACCTTGGTCTATGTGCATATTAAACAAAGGACACAGATGGATTCATGACAAAATTGTGTTTTGGTGATGGTGATGTGTTTGTAGATCTTACTTTACTGAACATTCTTGCTGCTTACAATTATCTCTATCTATGATGAACTTGGCCCAGTAGTTACAGTGGAAAATATTTTGTAACAATTTACAAAAATTTATGAAAATTGTAAAAAATTGACTATAAAGGGCAATAACTCCTTATGGGGTCAATTGACAATTTTGGTCATGTTGACTTATTTGTAGATCTTACTTTGCTGAACATTATTGCTGTTTACAGTTTATATCTATCTATAATAATATTCAAGATAACCAAAAGCTGCAAAATTTTCTTAAAATTACCAATTCAGGGGCAGCAACCCAACAACGTGTTGCCTGATTGGTCTGAAAATTTCAGGGCAGATAGATCTTGACCTTATGAACAATTTTATTCTATCAGATTTGCTCTAATTGCTTTGGTTTTAGAGATACGAGCCAAAAACTGCATTTTACCCTATGTACTATTTTTTAGCCATGTCGGCCATCTTGGTTCGCGGTCGGGGTCATCAGACACATTTTTTAAACTAGATACCCTAATTATGATTGTGCACAAGTTTGGTTAAATTTGTCTTAGTAGTTTCAGAGGAGAAGTTTTTGTAAAAGACTATAAAGGGCAATAACTCCTTAAGGGGTCGACTGACCATTTTGGTCAAGTTGACTTATGTGTAGATCTTACTTTGCTGAACATTATTGCTATTTACAGTTTATCTCTATCTATAATAATATTCAAGATAACCAAAAACGGCAAAATTTCCTTAAAATTACCAACAGGGGCAGCAACTCAACAACGGGTTGTCAGATTCATCTGAACAATTTTACCCCCTGTCAGATTTGCTCTAAATGCTTTGGTTTCAGAGATATAAGCCAAAATCTACATTTTACCCCTATGTTCTAATTTTAGCCATGGCGGCCATCTTGGTTGGTTGGCCGGGTCACCGGACACATTTTTTAAACTAGATACCCCAATCATGGTTGTGGCCAAGTTTGGTCAAATTTAGCCTAGTAGTTTCAGAGGAGAAGATTTTTTGTAAAAGTTTACGGACGACGGACGCCAAGTGATGAGAAAAGCTCACTTGGCCCTTCAGGCAAGGTGAGCTAAAAATTGGTAAAAATCAACATCAAAGAGCAAGAACTCTAATAAGGGGTCAACTGACCATTTCCACTGTTTGGACTTATTTGTAGAACTGGTTTTTCTGATCATTTTTGCTATTTAAAGTTTCTCTCCATCTTTTAAAATTTTCAAGATAACAGGCAAAAAAAAAAAGGTAAAATTTGTCATTTAAGGGCAACAACTCCTGTAAGAAGTCTGGTTAAATTTGGCCCAGTAGTTTTAGAGGAAAAGATTTTTGTAAAAGTTAACAGATGATGACGAGGGATGACAAGTGATGAGAAAAGCTCATATGGTCCTATGGGCCATTAAATAAAGTCCAGTTAAGTCTGACTTCTTGTTGAAGAGATCTAGCTGTCAACATGTTTTTTCCATACGGTCATCCCCATTCTTCATCCTAAACTTCAATGAGGAAATAAATACCATTAAACAACATTTTAACAACAATGGTGTAAAGTAAAATCTAAATCCTGGATCAAGTTGTTTTAAGGAGGCAAGATAAACATACTACATAAGAAGTATCAAAAGTTTTATTGATTATTAATTGTCCCATTATTTGTTAAACAGATTATAGTATCCTGCTTCCTTCCCTTCTATCAAAAATAAATTACAAAATAGAGGCTCCATCACAGGGTTGTGTCATTTCTATGTGAGAGAGAGAGAGATTTCTATACTACCTTTGGTCTTAGTGGGTCCTAACAAACAAACACAGACATTATATATTTTGATTGTTCACATAAAATACACATATCATAATGACTAGCTTTAATATTAACTGATTTCTTGTTGTTTGAACAACTTTTGTTTTACATAAAACACATGTAGAGATAATTTCAAATAGAGATTTTTTAGAAATATTCAACGTTTCAATTTTGCTTTGTCTTTTTACATAAATATTTTTAATAAACTAAAAATTCAATACCATTGTTTTATCAAATTTTCCTGTTATGATTTGTTCAAGCAAACCCTTTAAATTACAGATTAATTGATCGATCGATGTTTACTTAATGTCCAGTGGCAAATGATTAATGCTATAAATAACAGAAGTCTATCCCTCTTTTCTAAGATAATGGCTATTGAGATGATACAACCCTGTTTATGAAAGTCTATCCACATATGTCGTGGACATTATGATATGATATTTAAGCACTATAATTCTGTGAAAATAAACAGTAATTCACATTAGGCCATACAAAATAACCATCACTGGACAGCTTAACAAATTCAAAACAAAGTTAATGAGGTGGGAGGCTTATTATTGCTTCTTTATAATTCACATTGGAATACTGGAACTTGTCTTCAGTTAAAAAGACCTGTTCTACAATTTATTTCTGACAGAAACAGAAAATGACTGTTGCCAAAGTACTAACAAATGTCATCAACAATTATAATGAAAAACAAGTTACATTATATCAAATGATTCTTTTGTGCAAAATAAAAACAAAAAACAAACATTCAAATTCATTAAATGTATCAGCAAAGATTAGCATGTATAGAAAACATTTTACAAAAGAGAGGGAGGGAAAGTTTTTTCTTTGTTCTGCATTTTATAGTTTAATTATACTTTTGATATTTGTAAATCGGCATTTATACAAAAATTTGTAGAAAATCTTGTGTATTTCCTACACTGTTTTTGTCTGTTTTTATCTATTATTGTTCATGGCAATCTCATCATTTGACAAATTTTCCCTTGTGCGGACGTATTCCTGTTCATACCAGATATGTCTTAAACTGACAATCCTATCTTCAACATACATATAAAAATGACTGTACAGGAAAAACAATATTTAAATAACAAACATTAATTAATTCAATGTTCAAGTCTTAATTTTCCTTTTAACACAGTTTCACAAACAATTTAAACGAAACAAATTTTATTCATCACGATTTAAAGTTCTCTGGGTCAAACTCCTTGCCAACAAACTGACACAAATGTTTCACCACACAAACTCGGCTAACTGAAGCAGGATAAATGAAAGCTGATATTTCTTGATGTACTTTAAATGAAGTGGCATTTCCATGGCAACAGTCAATCAGTGCACCAATTTGAATAACTGCACTGCCACTTGTTAGTGACACAAAGCTTGTTCATTAAGCAGTAAAGTTATGATTCATAAAGTTAGAGCTATGTTTGAAAGTTTTATACACAATGCAGTCAATACAGTTCCTAAATTGTTTTCAATTTAGCTTCAATATCTGCCTCGTCTAAATCACCCAGGTCATTTGCTTGCACTTCTATCTTTATAGCCTGTAATTTCTTCTTTACAGCGTCTTTACTGGATGCATATATCATCTTTTCTTTCATTGGAGCTTCATCTGGACTCCTGAAAACAAAGTAATAAGTTTAAATTAAAAACATCATTTACATTGTATACATGTATAGATTCTATAAAATAATAATCACTGAACAAAATCATAAAAAAGGTTCAGCTTGAATCCTTAGAATAAGATAATCTATTACATTGTACATGCAAGTTAATATTATACAATTTGGTAAGGTTGATACTTATCAATTATGAACTTTTGACAAAGTCAAGACTTTATATATCGACCTGTTCAGATTATATTGACAGAGGAAGGAGTTCCAAGTGTCAATATAATCTAACAGTTCCATATATAACGTATTGACAGAGTGAAAGTCCTTAATTTATACATAACTTGCAAGGTTGGGCGGTAAATACCGCCCTTGGTTTTCCGGACATTACTCCTCAAGTGGTCAATACTGGCAAATACTGGTCGATTGAAATTTTCATGGTGGTTTTTACTATTTATTGAAGTAAAAAAAGTAAGATATATTTAAACTTTTATCTTTTGGCATGTTTCAGCTGATATAAATGAATAAATGTGATGTGATTTATTCATTTTTAACACTTATACCTACTAGTTTAGTCCTTATAAGTTATGATATTGCATATTTTAGATATATATATAAAGAATTGACAAATTAATTATTACAACATTTTTCAATCAAGATATTTTTTATTGAAAATGCATAATTTTTATAGGTACATAAAACTACAGGTAAATGAAGTTACAGGTGTCTTATTACCTATCGCCTGGCATTGCTAGGTCTGAACATTTAATTACTATAAAAACAACAGCCCCTAATAAATGATGACAAAACATGGTTGAAAGTAATAAAAGTGATTTTTGAAGACTCACTTAAACAATAAAATATTTCCTGTCTATTAAATGTGAGACAAAAATCATCTTTATGCTGGAAATGGAAGGTATGAAGGACCTTTACTCTTATGGCTGAACTGTAATTTATGTTTTAAACCAAAAAATATATAATGTAGTATAAATTTTACCTTTACATAATCAATATTTACATGATGTACATACACACAGTACAACCACCTTGACCTTAAGCACCAAACTGAAACCTGAAGACCCTATTTGGAACTTCTGTACAATATAAGACAACAACAAAACCCGTGCAAAATGTAATGATTGCAATGCTATACTCATGATACTCAGTGCAAAAACCACCTGATGAGTTTCCTTGCCAGGGACGAAACATTTTTTATCTTATGTACTAATAAATCATTGTAAATCACTGTTTATTAAGAATTTATAATAAAAATAGAAATAAGAACATTTAAAATGACTTTAACAGTCTTCATGATAAATTTTAAAGTCTACAGGCCAGAGGATGAATTTTGTGAAAATTTTTGTTAGTTTCTATTGGCTTGTATAGATGATTTTTACAGGTCTGACAGCACTTTTACAGGCCTGGGCTGGTGGGCCTGTTGTTGAGTGCGAAGACTGCAGTTTAACATTTCATTTTTCATTACTAAATGTAATTGACCCGGTAGAGAGTGGTTTTTATAGTAATGTCCACTCAAAATTTCAATCAACCAGTATTTGCCAGTATTTACCGCCGGCATGGTCAATACTAGTACTGACCGCTTTTTTGCCAACCTTGATAACCTGTTTGTAAAAGGTGTATTCTGGAAATAAACCAACGTTCTTTCTGTGTATTTTATGTTGTATTTTGCAAGATTTTTAATATCAACTGTCATGAGTCGTTTTCCATAAATTTTACTTTTTTTTCTGGATACTTCATCAGTTGATATATAATGTGACCGTTTTGTGCATATTCAAATATATTTAGCTATGTGGAAAGACTTGTATAATAGCAAGTTATAAAAATAGAAATTATTCAGTCTCTATAAAAAATAAACTGTTGACACAGAATATGTCTCGGTTGTCGGCATAAAATTCAGAAAAAGGCAATCTGATGGACAGCAACATTGCTTTAGTTATTAATTCGCTAGACCATGATTTAGTGGCCAGGGCCTCGAAATGGCTGATGAACTGAGATGTACAGACAGTAATGTAACTTAATAGAACATATCTTTGACTAGTAGTCTAGTATTGTAAGTAGTTCTTATCAATCTAACTTGAGCAGAAAACTTAATATTGACCCTGATCTAGGGGGCAGGGCCTCAAATAATCATCAATCTGATATGAACTAATAGTAATGCAACTTCATACAAAATATTATTGATCTTTCTCAAGTAGATCCTATCAAATCAGGGTTGGCAAAAACCTGGGTTTTATGAGAATTGCCCAGCCCAGTGGGAAATACTGGTAATATGAAATACTGGCCTGAATTTTAAAGAGGATTTATAATTAGTGATTAATCACAAATGCAATACATTAAAAATGATTATAAAATAAAGACATAGTATTTTAATTTATAAGTTCTTTTGGATTATTCAAACAAAGCTTGGAAATTAACGAGGTATCCTCAAATGTGCAAAACATGTATTCTGCCTACATAAAATGAGTGTAGAAAAGGAAAAAACTTACTTTTCAATCTTCTAGAAATAACTCTCAATGGTTATCTGTATAAAATGTATATTTTATACTTATTGACTGGGTATGAGAGGAATAGTAAGTTTATCATGTTTATTGTCCCAGAGGTGAAACTATTGCCCTGAGGCATAGCCGGAAGAACGCGAAATAAAATTGCCATTTCACGATGAACGAACAATAAAAAAATTTCTTGAAAGTTGATCTTTTTACCGATTTCACGAAACAAGGTGAATACATACCTTTTTCACGGCTGCACGTGAAATAAAAATGGCAAAACACTTTGCACGAAAGTAACCCTTTACAACCCCTCATTAACCAGGAAACCCTTGTTTTTCCCCTTTTTTGCCTCTAATTGGGGGCGAGCCTCAAAATAGTCGGCAAACTGATATGTACTGATAGTAGTGCAACTTTGTTTTAAATATCAATGATCTTTCACAAGTAGTTCCTATCAAACTAACTTAAGCAGAAAACTTAACAATTGTTGACGCCGTATTCATCGTCGCCGGAAAAGCAATCTCTAGGTCTCACTGGGCGAGACAAAAATTATAAGATTTCCACTGTTTTTTTTAATGCAAAATGGGTGCAACTTGGGTACTGTGAGGCTAAATAAAATTGGTCAACACTGTTGCAAGATCTTCCTCCATAAATTGGGAAAGTTGACAGGCCTTTCTATGTTGAATAGTTCTCATTGATATCAGATGTGAATAGGCTGTGTTGCAACATCTTGCATGTACATGTATGTCAAGTGATTGAACCCATTCATACTTCTTTCATTCTGCAGATAAACAATAGGTGGAAATTAGATGAGACAAGATTCAAAACACCAAGTTGATCTGTCCCAAGTAGTTCCAGCCCAATAGTAAAATAATGAATAATAATTAAAATAAATGGAGAATGTGTCCAAGGGATACAGATGATGCCCCCACTTGCATGCAACATTATAAAGGGACATAACTAGAGAACTGTAAACTGTAAAAGTGATGCCACCCAAATTCAAACTTGATCTGTGTTTTATGATAATAAGCACTGTGTATACATGTAAGTTTCATAACATTTTGTTGAGGCAAACTAAAGTTAGAGAACGGAAACAATAAATTCAGTAATTTTTCCATTTATAAAGGGGCATAACTTAAGAATGGTAAAAGCGACCGCACTCAAAGTCTAACTTGATCTGTGTTTTGTGGTAATAAGCTTTGTGTACAAGTTTCATAACATTAGGTCAAGGGAACTAAAGTTGAAGAATGGAAACCAATTACAAGACGTACGAACAGACAGACAAGGATAAACCTTAATGCCCCATCAGCAATGGCGGGGGCATACAAATTTGAAGGTTTTGACAGAGTTCATTTATGGTAAGTGGAACTTACACAGTATAGATGTGCAAATCAAACAACATTTCTCAATTAGAACAGTTTTTAT